TTTAAGACCTTTCGAAGAGGAGCACGTTTGGAAGGAAAGGACGTTGCGTTATATACCTTGGCGAATAGACAGGAGGAGGTGCCGATATCTCGACCGTAATTTATCACCCAGCTAGACCGGCTAGAAAAGACGGTCCCAGAACGATTCTCCTGTGGGCCCCGCGGCTCAAGATCACCGACGGAGAGAATGAGATAGAGATAGACACCGAGAAAGGGAAATGGAGAAAGAGGAAAAACGAAAAAGAAGTTCACGAAAGAGGGATTCTTAAAAGAGAGAGAGAAAGAAAAAGAGAGAGAGAGAGTGAATAAGGCCCTGGGGCCAGCCCTCATTACCACGCCTCTAGACTTCCTAGTCATTATATGGTGGTTCCAATACCAAGATCGCGTTTCATCACGAATACCATCGCGGACATTCCACCGACATGACAAAAAAAAGAGGGAGAGGGTTAAATGATGTGTATCATCCTTCCGAAATACGAATGAGATTAAACTTCATCAAATGTTTTCTTCAAAATCGAGACGTTCGTGTGTATAATCAAACCAAAAATCATTCTCAATACCACCTCTAATAAACTTATTGTCTATATGTTTTGTTAAAGAGAAAAAATGCGGAAAATTGGGTCGAATCTTAAAGGAAGTTCTCAAAATAGAAAATTTCTGTAAATGAGAAAGAGAAGTGTGCTCCGCCCAGAGGCTGGTTGTAAATAATTAAAGAGAACCAGTAAAAACAAATATATCGTTTCGCGCAGTGTGATAGATGATGTTGCTTATTCAGAGTCCTGGACACAAGAGGAAAGGGAAAGAGAAGGTAAGAGAAAGGGTGCAGGTGGAGAGATGGAGGAAGAGGAGGAGGAGGAGGAGGAGGAGGAGGAGGATGTTTCAATAGCATCTTTTTTCTCGTCTACGAGTAACGTCGAGTAATAGCTGAAGCCTTTTCGAAAGTGGGGGGATTGGCGTGAAATCTCTCACTCTTTCTCTCTTTCTCTCAATCGAGAAGAAGGAGGAGGAGGAGGAGGAGAAGAACTTTAGAGGTTGGTAGGCTTTTAGGGCCTTACGTGGAGCGACGAGAGGGTTCAAGGGCGTACTGAAGACGCGGAGGATTGGAGGCAAGGAAGGCGAGGCAATTAGGAGGCACAGCAGGGTGCCAAAATCTTTACCCTCCTCGTTCAACCTCCTCCTACGCTAAAAATCTCCTTCGTCTCTCTTTCTCCCTCCTCTCTCTTTCTCTCTCTCTCTTTGACTTCCCGTTATTTTCCTCTTCGTCTTTTCGGTCATATCAAAAAAGATAAACCATTCTATTCTTTTCAAAACAATCGACATCATTGATGCCCTCCCTTTTAGTGTCCATATCCTTACTATTAATTCTAAATATATCTGGAGACAGTTCTAAGTTTCACGTTAATTTCCATTCTATATATTTTCATATAGAATGAAAAATATTTATTGAAATATCTAAATATCTTCGTTATTTATAGTTTTATGATAAAAATTTGTATATAATATACAAATCTACACACTCAAATAATTATATAGATAACATATATCTGTTATTTTATTTTACTTAAAAAACACGTAAAAATACTACATGTATAAACTAAACTAATTGTAAGTAATTAATATAAACTTTTACAACTTTAATCAAGCGGTAATTGTCATCACAACGATCGTATGAATAAATGAAAGACCGAAATTTGTTATATGCAGTTTAAAAAAAAAAATGGTCGAGGAAAATGATTGTCACTTTTGTCATTGTGAGCCATGTATGTTTATGATATAATAAAAACGGTATACATTTTATTAAAATATCAATAAATGACCTTACAACAAATTTTTCAAAAATAATTTGTAATGAGGTCTTCATTTTTCATATTTATATTGTTATTTGATTTAAAAATTACAAGCAATAAATTAATTATTTAATTAAGTATTTATTAATATTCAATAATGCTTATTTAAAATTAAAATAATTGAGATGTCACTTATACTATTTTCAAAAAATATGTTAAGTGTTTTTTAAGTTATACGATCGACTTTAATATCAACGCCATCTTTTAGAAACGATCACTTAAGATTAATAAAAAAATCTATTGTCGATAAAAATACATGAAAAAGCATCATCTGTCGATAAAAATTCAAATGTCGACAATAGAAATGATAATTATTATTAGCACTATTTTTCAAAAATATTGCAATTGCAATTAATTCGTAATTGAATTTCTAGCAATTTAGTTCATTGCAGTTAGATTCATTTTAGTTAGTACCCTGACCACCAGTGGGCATAGTAGATAAAATATTGTAACTATGGCCAACTAGTGGTCAAGGTACTAACTAAAATGAATCAAACTGCAATGAACTAAATTGCAAGAATTTCAATGTTTTCAAAATATAGACTTTATCCGTATATATCCTGTAAACGACATTATAATTATTTACATAATAAAAAATATTACATTTGATATTTTTCAAGATATCAAGAATTATCTCCGACGAACGATTACTCTTATTAAATTTTATACAGCAATGCAAATTTCAAAATAAGATATTATATTTCTAAGCTTGCATATAACTGTTCAATTAAACCAAATGAAATGCTTAAATGTTTAACAATTTCTGAAAAAATTTAATCAAAAGTATTATTCAATATTAATTCTCATCAATTCTTTGATCCCTAATAGAAATTGTGTACCACCAGATGGTGCTTTTAAGAGACGTATAACTATATATAGCTTAACTGCAAATCATCACAAATATTTAACTGATAAAAAATATTTACAAGGACATATTAATAAGTCATAAGAAATAAATCCTTATCTGTAATGTACTTTGTTCATACAAATACAATAAATTATTTTATCGTTTAGTGATTATTTCGAATATTCGAGATATATAATATTCGGTAAAGAGAATACCGTCTGTCTGTACTCTAAAACTTAGTCTCTTTATTTACAGATTCGCTATGGCTGACAATAAGCAACAAAGTAAATCTCTTCCTCCAGCATTAGAAAAATTATTTGGGTAATTAAAAAGTGTATTTAAGTTAATTTAAATAAAATATACATAATTTTATTAATATCAACATTTTTAAATTATATATATTTTACAGTTATATAGATGCTCACAAAGTAGAATACATTAATAATCTACGAGAAGCAGTTGCCATAAAATCGGTTTCAGCATGGCCAGATCATAGAAATGAAATAATTAAAATGGTCAAATGGACGGAAGTTAAATTAAAAGAACTTGGTGCTACGACAGAATTAGCAAATGTAGGAACACAAAAATTGCCAGATGATTCTGAAATACCACTTCCACCTGTACTCTTAGGAACTCTTGGTTCTGATCCTAAGAAAAAAACAGTTCTTTTATATGGGCATTTAGATGTACAGCCTGCACTAAAAGAAGATGGATGGGACACAGAACCTTTCGTTCTTACAGAAAAAAATGATAAACTTTACGGACGTGGCAGTACAGATGATAAGGGACCAGTTTTGTGTTGGATCCATGCACTTCAAGCATACAAAGCTATTGGTGTTGATTTTCCAGTAAACTTAAAGGTATTTTTTCTTTTTTTTTGGAAATGTCAAATTCATTTCGAACATCAACTAATTTTCAATTATAGTTTGTATTTGAAGGTATGGAAGAAAGTGGCAGCGAAGGATTAGACGAATTACTTTGGAAACGTAAAAATGATTTCTTAAAAGGAACAGATTATGTTTGCATATCTGATAATTATTGGTTGGGAACTACAAAACCTTGTATTACATATGGATTAAGAGGAATTTGTTATTTTCAAATTGAGGTAACATGTGCGAGCAAGGATTTGCATAGTGGAACGTTTGGTGGTATTGTACATGAAGCAATGGCTGATCTTATTTACTTGATGAATACCTTGGTAGACGTCAATGGAAAAATATTGATAGATGAAATTTATGATAATGTTGCTCCCATTACTGATCTTGAATTAAAAAGTTATGAAACTATTGAATTTGATGTGCATGAACTTCGTGAATCTTGCGGAGCAACTAAATTACCTCATAACGAGAACAAGGTATAAGAGCAGAACAATAACTTTATCTATCTTGAATATCTCTCTCTCTCTCTCTCTCTCTCTCTCTCTTTCTCTTTCTGTTATTTATAATAATATGAAAAACTTCATTTGTTTTTACCAAAGATTCAACTTCTGATGCACCGTTGGAGACAGCCAAGTCTTTCCCTTCATGGTATTGAAGGAGCTTTTAGTGAACCTGGTGCAAAAACTGTTATTCCAAGAAAAGTTATTGGAAAATTTTCAATTAGATTAGTACCCAACATGACACCAGATCAAACTGTAGAACTAGTTAAAAAATATTTGGAAGCTAAGTGGGAAGCTAGAAAAAGTCCAAATATATTTAACGTGATTATGAATCATGGAGGCAAACCGTGGTCAGAAAATCCTGATCATCCAAATTATGTAGCTGGACGAAAGGCTACTAAACATGTCTATGATGTTGAACCAGATCTGTCTCGTGAAGGTGGATCTATTCCAGTAACTTTGACATTCCAAGAGATCACAGGTAAAAATGTTTTACTTTTACCTGTTGGAGCAGGTGATGATGGTGCTCATTCTCAAAATGAGAAGTTAAACATATATAATTACATTCAGGGAGTAAGTATATTTCTTCTTTAATTATTAAAATAAAAGAACAACTCATTCAGTATAGTTAATATTTAATAAACTTCTTATTTCTTTACAGACAAAATTACTGGGTGCTTATCTCTATGAAGTTGCTAACATGTAACTTGTGATAAAGATTGTACAAGAAGTAATTAATTTGATATTCAAATTTGTTATTAAATTTGATATTAAATACTACAACGATGTTGTAGTATTATATATTATTATTTCTTTACAAAACTTTAATTTTATAAAGAGACGTGATGGGAGAGAGGCTTTTTATCAAATTCATATAGATATATATAAATATAAATTTACATAAAATTTTATGAAATACCTACATATATAAATTAATTAAAAGAAATCTGCATTACTTAACTTTTTTTTATTCCTGTTCAACTTTTAGTACCCATCCTGGTTCACCTTTGTGAGCTTCATATGGTAGCTGCACAACGAATTTAGTTGCAAGTTGCTTCCACTATATAATAAATAACAACAATTTAAAAATATGAAACATTACAGAGGGCATCAAATAAACTTACATCAAGTTGTTTTATAAAGCCAAGCAATGATACATGGGTATTACTTGGGACTTTTAAAGAACCCAAAGTTAATATACTTTCTTTTGGCCATTCTAAAATTAATATATAAAGTCTTTTTTCATCTTTACTTTGTGTATACCACACATTACTCGTTAATGTATCATTCTGTATTTTCCATGGTTTAGTATTATAAATAGCTTCACCATTTATTTTTAGCCAAGAACCTATTGTAAACGTAATCGTGATATTAATATTACCTAATACTTTAATTTCATAAGAATCTAGAGAAATATAAAATTATTGAAACCTATTCCACGTAATCTTTCTTCAAATATTGGAGAAATAATACCATCCTTAGTTGGACCAACATTCATCAATAAATTTCCACCACAACTTACTGTAGTTACCAATTCTTTTACTAATTCATTAAGTGTAAGATAATCTGCTAAAGCAGCATTTCTACGAAAGCCCCATGACTTTTTATCGATAGTCATACAATTCTCCCACTTGTGTGAGAGAAGTACTCCTAAATATTATAGAAATAATAATAAAAAATCATGTATAGAACAAAAAAAATTACATGCAAATGTTTTATAAATTCATACCAGGATTAAAACGATCAGTACACGTATAAAAATCACCATGATGACATGGAATATTTCTACCCCATCTATCATTTACAACTACTGTTTCTTTTACAGGACTTTCATTATATAACCAGGATAAAAATTCTTTTGATTTCCAATAAGAATCTGTAGCTTCCCAATCACCATCTGACCAAATTATTTCTGGTTTGAACATTTCTATAAGCTCATGCATTTCTGGAATGATTTTCTGCGTAACGAAAAGATCTGTTGTAAAATTATTCTGTTTGTCGGCAAGATACATAGGATTATACCACTCGTATAAAGAATGATATAATCCAAATTTAATATCGGTGGATGATCTTATTGCTGCTGCCAATTCACCTATACATTATAAATAAAAAATGAAGAAACATTGACTCAATATATAAATAAGATTATCAAATATACCTATAAGATTTCTCTGTGGTCCAATATCCATGGAATTCCAACTGAAGGAATATTTTGATGGCCACAGGGTATATCCTTCATGATGTTTACTAGTCAATACCACATATTTTGCACCTGAAGCTTCAAACATTTCACTCCATTGAGATGCATTAAAAAATTCAGCAGTAAAGTCATGAGCAAAGTCTTGATAAGTATAATTAGGTGGATATCGTTGCTTCATGAAATCATGATACTTAGTACCAGTTTCTTCTGTAATACAAAGACAAATTGAAATATAATACAAATGTGTCATTTTATATTTGACAAACATACAAATGTATGTACCTTTCCAATTATTCCAAAACCATTCTGAACCGAAGCTAGGAACACTAAACACTCCCCAATGAATAAATATTCCAAATTTGGCATCATCGTACCAACCAGGAAGAGGTCGAGAATCTAAACTATTCCAAGTAGGATCATATTTAAGTTGACCTGTATTGCGAGATGAGAATAATTCATCTTCTATATTATTATTTTCTATTATAAGATAATGATCTCTTGAAGATCCACATTGTACAACAATATTCCACAAAAATGTAATATACAAACAAAATGTTACAACTTGCATAATTGTATTTTCACAAAAAAATAAACGATAATATTTATACTGATTTCTCACATATGTATCAATTTCATCAGAAATGCAATCTGAAAATATGAATCATTTGCGGTTATAAAAACACTGAAACTCTAAAGATTGATAATCGGAGTTATCAGGTTAAGTCGTATAAGACCGTATCAGAGCCATTTAAAAATATGATAGCATACTAAAGAGAGAGATTACTTTATAAACAATAAGATTATTGTTTGTATTCTTATATAATTTTTAATATTATTTTATTAAACAAATAATTTTATAAACTATTTTTACTTGTATTAAAGACTAAAATTGTCTTGAGTTAAATGATATGTTAAAATATTTTGAATTTACATATCTGTTAGTTTTACAGTATATGTATTATATACGTATCCATATACAGTTGGTCAGAAAAATATTTGGACATCAGTATAGATTTGATATTTATGTTCTGTATTTATCTACACTCTGGAAATGTTGGAAACTGTCACGTCATATCTAAAAAAAAACAAACTGAAACACCAACACTTCTAAATTACAAACATTATGCTTAAACATATTGTGCTATTAGCTTTCTGAAATTTGAACCATTATTATATTGATTATTGATATTCCACAGTATTTAAATATTTTTTGTAATCTACAAATTAGCGATATTTAGTCTTTTTTTTTTTTATTATTATAGAAACAAACATATATTATGATAAATAAATATTTATTCGTATTTGTGTTATCTAAAAAGCATGCACTATCATAATATATTTATAATGGTGTCTGAATATTTCAATGACTAATTGTATGTACAATATGAATATGTACATATTACGTAAAAAGCAAGCTTCTGATAAGACTTATTTATGAAGCGCGATAAGAAAAATAATATTTATTTTAAGAACATTACACACATATCTCATTTGTACTACATTCAGTATTGAATATAATTTAATTCAAGACACATAAGAATTATAGTGTTCATTCAAAATGAAAGTGGATCCACCCAAAGAACTTTTAAAACCATTACAAGTCCCCTCCAAAATATTAATGGGACCTGGACCAAGTAATTGTTCACAACGAGTGTTACAATCTTTAGGACATCAAATAATAGGTCATTTTCATTCGGAAATGTTTAAGGTATTTATCAAAAATTCTAATAAAAAAAAATACATGTGTGCAGATCACACAAGTTAGAAGTGAAACCTTTAATAAATCAAGTTTCAAGAGAATGAGATGAGTGCATAGTTATCAGAAGTAGGATTATTTATTAAATAATATTATTATAATATTATTTTGTACTTTTTTTCTAATTATTTAATAATTAGAAAAATGCGCGCCTATAAGGATGCAACCCTCCAGACACACTTTGAAAATGTTGCTTGCGAGCACCATCTGTTGGGACGTAATTTTTGTTCTGCCCGAAAGATAGGCAACCCGTAATACATGAGTGTATAAATAGTTTGGACTGAAAAAAATTCCGTCCCAATAGATGGCGCTCGCAAGCAACATTTTCAACGTGTGTCTGGAGGGTTGCATACCTACAGGTGTAATATTTTTATAAATAATGATACAAATTTAATTTTAATTTTGTAATTAGTTAATGTATATTTTTAAAATAATATTTAGTATCTTATATGAAAAGTAAATATTTCAAAATTGAAATTAATCAATGTTAGACATTTAATGATCGTCGTAAAAATAATAAAAGATTAGAAAGTCTTTCATAATTTTATTGGAGAACGATCCATGACTTAAAATCATGTGTATATTTACTGCATCGCTGCAGTGTTTGACTTTTTTCAAATCACCCCCATTCTAAAGAAGTTTACACTTCAATAATTCTATAAGATATACGATATATTTTCAGTTAATGGATGACATTAAAGCAGGAATTCAATATGCATTTCAAACAAAAAATAAATTGACTTTGGCATTGAGTACAGCAGCACACGGTGGTATGGAAGCATGTTTGGGAAATTTAATCGAGTCGGGAGAAACAGTGTTGATTGCTAAATGTGGAATTTGGGGTGAACGTGCCGGCAATATGGCAAATCGTATTGGTGCACATGTAAGAATATTTTTAAATGTTCAAACAAAATTGTAGAATAAAATAACACGTTAAATGCTAGATCGCACAGAGGCTTAAAATGATTCAAAATTGATACTTGTCACGAAAGCCATTATAGTGGTGTACACTGCTTAAAAGATTAATTTCATTATGAGCATTTAAAATAATCGAAATTCATGAGGAACGATGAGTCACACATGCGATACACTTGGAGCTCATGTTTCAACTAAAAATGTACAGGTGTTGATAAGCACTTATCCAGTACAAATGATTTATACATACGCTACAGGGTTTACTAAACATACTCCTAAGTTTAAAAGTTTCCGAAAAAAAATTGTTATTTTTTTATTCTGGCAACATCTTTTTTCATTTTCGGCCTTTGTGCGCCAATCCCAACAGATCGAATTTAGACTTTCCGTTCTGGCCGCGTCAATCATCAATGGCCAACATTTTTATGTTTTTCACGGCTTACAGATTCATCGTTGCCTGAACGGAAAGTTCAACAAAAGAGAATTGTACAAAATACTAACAACCCTTTATAATCTGAAATGAAATAAATTGAATTTTGTACATAATTTAGCACAATTGATATCATAGGTTGAATTCTTGAAAACTGAACATGGGGTTGGTTTCGATCTCGATCTTTTAGAATCTTATTTGAAAAAATTCAAACCTGCTGCAGTTTTTGTAGTACATGCTGAATCTACAACTGGTATGAAACAACCATTGGAAGGCATTGGAAATCTCGTTCATCGGTGCATTTAAATTATATTATTCTTCATTATTTTTAACGAAAAGATTAATAAAACGTTGTTTTTTTTTTTTTACGTTAGATATAATTCACTCCTCATTGTCGATTGTGTAGCGTCGTTAGGCGGTGAGCCATTTTTTGCGGACGCTTGGGAGATTGATGCTGTTTATACATGTAGTCAAAAAGTTCTTGGAGCTCCGCCAGGTATAACACCAATTTCATTCAGCCCTTTAGCAGTGTATGTAATCGATATTTAATGATATTTAATGACAAAAAAATACATGATTTATTTTAATAGTGTTTCTAAACGTTAATACATTTTCCTAATTAGAAAAAAGATTTTTGGCAGACATACGAAAATTTCAACATATTATTGGGATATGACCATCTTAGGTGATTATTGGAACTGTTTTGGTAAATCAAGGATTTATCATCATACGATAAGTGCTACACTGATTTATGGATTACGTGAAGCTTTGGCTGAGTTAGCAGAGGAAGGTCTTCTTTTTCGTTGGTCTAGACACAAATTAGTAGCTGCTAAATTGCGAGAGGAACTTTTGAAACGAGGATTTCAACTTTATGTTAAAAATCCGAAATTTCAACTGTCTACGATTGTATCTATTGAAATACCACGTGGAATTAATATGAACATTTTATCAACCAGAGCTATGGAAAGGTAAGACATTTTTCAAAACAAATATTTTTCTATTCGAATTATAATTCGAAATAATCGATGTAGATATGGAGTTGAAATAAGTGGTGGACTTGGTCCAACTTTTGGCAAAATTATACGAATTGGCTTGATGGGAAATAATTCTACGTATCGTCATGTTGATCTTCTACTTGAAGCTTTAGATGATGCACTCAAATTTGCCATAAAATCGAAAATATAAGCGTGTGTATGTTTATATGAGCACGTATATGCTTTACTCAAGTTTAACCATGACAGGTTGAAAATATTAAGCTGATGAAAAAATGATATGCAGTTTTTATTATTTTAAATCGATAGCTAGTTTCTCTAGTTATTTTGTATCTAGTTAAAGTCATGTAATATATTATTGTAAAAAGTGCAATTGACATTATTGATTTTTGCTTATATTATTGTTACCTTATATTTTTATATTATATATTTTATATGAAACTAGGGGTGCCCCGCCACGCGTTACTGTGGCTAAAAATCAGTCCAATACACACGTCTTTAAGTCAACGAATTACCTTATACCGCCATCTGTTAGAATTTTATCGAACTAACAGAGATAATCATGACTCTTTGTTAATATACAAATAATTCGCAATAAAATAATATTTCGATTATAATAAATTGAGATATAAACTATCCTATCTTTCAAGTTGGAAAAAATTACATAAAATACAAAAAATTTCATTAAGATCGATTGAGTAGTTTTAAAGTTATTAATGGACAAACAACTTAACACGTAATCTATATATATATATATATATTAAGATTATAATACTATATATAAATATTATATATTGTTTTGTATATTATTGTTTAGTATTATGTAACGTCAAATTTGCACAATTAAAATTCGCACAATTGTGCAAAGTACCAAAAACTGCTCGATATATAAGTTATTTTTTTGATTAAGATATAATTAACAAATGTAAAATTCTGAAAAAAAAGAACGGTCATAGATAATATTCTTTAATTATCGATAATAAAGGATACTATTAAATTGAACCCACAAACAACTTGATAAGTTGCAAAAAAGAAATTAAATGTTAATTATTCAATATTTATTTAATATTTAAATTATATAAGTATTTTAATTTGATGCTTAAAAATTCTATTGTTATTTTTTTTTTTTTGTAATCAATCAAATAATTCGTAACTTTTTAAGTTCGGAGTGAAAACACAAACTGCACAGAAATTTGTCGTGCTGACGAAAAAAAAAAATGGAGTACATTTATTTTATTAATGAAAATACTGCAATCGGCATACATTTTTTTTCGCTATTAAGCTTCATTGTATTAATTAGCAATGTCAATTAGTTAGGTACATTATTTCACTTTCGGTGTAACAAGAAAGATAATATCTTAAATGTGTAATACATACATAATGACAATTACAATGGGAGTTAGAGATAATGGCAATAAATGTAATAAATGATAATATTTTTTAATATAATAAATCATACCTTAATAGTTTTGGCACAGTATAGTTCTATTCTTTAACGAAATTTAATTTCAAATAAATTTACGTGCTTGATTTATAATTTAACTATAATAAAAGAGTTAAAAAAAAAAAACCATAGTCACTAAGCGGCAAGATGAAAAATAACGATTATTAAATAAGATCACTGAGATTTATCTTTTGATTTCTAGAAACAATTAACATTTTACAATTAATTCTAATTAAAGGATTGAAATAGTAACGTTGATATTTAAATGATTTGAACAACAACAAAATTGCCATCTGATTTAAATCAAAAACTGTAAAGCTTATATATATATAATATATATAATATATATATATAT